TTAAAAAGCCGCGGCAAATGCAGGCGCAGCAGCTGAACGAGTTTGCAGAACTTCGCACAGTTTCGAGGACGTTTTCACAACAGTTCGGTTGTTTACATTATGTTTAGTTTGGTTTGGTTGCACAGTCTTAGTTACACAGCTTTGGCTGACTTCAGTTGACTGTTTGGAGCCTGTTGGGTTGCACCTGTGCGCACAAACACACATATGGAATATAATTGTTGAATAAGTGGAACATTCAAGACAAAACAATTAATTAATTAATTAATACTCACGCATTGACTCGGTCAGCAATTTTCTGCCACGCGAGCTCCCGCTCTTTTGGTGCTGCCACAGTATTGCTTTCTAAAAAATATATATGCTCACTTTCTGCATATGCGGTCATTAATATTTCCAACTCCACTGGGGAGAAGTAGAAGGATCGAGGCTTTTTATCACTTGTTGCCATGGTGAATCATGTTATCTGTGTTCCATTGATGAAGGTTTTTTTTTTTTTTTTATATCCTCATGCACGGGTTTCACTCAGGGTTACCTTGACTCAGAGTTGATTGAACTAAGTGTAATCACCTGTTCTGAAACCAAAAACTCAGAGTTTGACAGCTCAGAGTTGGTCAACCTAGAGTTAAGGTTTTAACTCCGTTTGTTGAACCTGCTTTCTGAAACGGGCCCCAGGTCACACTTCACATATGACAACAAGGACAACAAGACCGTCTGTAAACCGTGGGGAGCAAATATCCCTGGGAAAAACACCACCAACTTGAAGTGACATTTACAGACGACTCATCCAGAAATACACGCTAAGGTTATTTTATCGGATAACCACCATGATTTAGTCGACTAAAATCTGCTAATAAGTCTACTAAAACTAGACTAAGACTAAAAGACTTAAAACTAGACTAAGACTAAAAGATTTCAGTTGACTAAAATATGACTAAAACTAAATGGTGTGTTATTCAAAAGACTAAGACTAAATCAGAATTTGCTATCAAAATTAACACTGATTTGCCTGAGTTGCGTAACTTTATCACGTGTGTGTATGTGTGTAAATGTGCACAGGAATTAGTTGTGCTACAATAATGGCTGCATACTTGAAGATGGTATGACTTGATATTTTGAGGGTGGGGTGGTGAACTACAATACTTACAGACAGTTGCTTTAAAACTGGGGTTAACATGTTCATGTCTGGTCATTTAAAAGGCTGTTGCTAACACACATTAGCCATGGTGGCATGATTAACTGTCACATGTTCTTTTCACCATGTCAGCGCTCCACTGCCAGAAACATGAAAAACCCAATCCTGGTTGCTGTGATCCTTCAGCTGGCGAGCACAGTAATACAGATCGATGGGAAAGTAAGTAACTGTTTCATGTTTCATTATCCACAAAGTTTTTCTTGGCAAGAAAATCTTTTCTTTTCAAACCGTTAATAGTTTGTAGTCCCAAAACTAATGCCACATAGATTATTCTGACAAACTCTAACAAAATTTCCATCTCAGTTTAAAGAGGCCAGAATAATAATAATAATAAAATCAGGGCCTGTATACTATATATTCTAGTCCCATTTCTATCCAGTATCCACATGAGTACCCTTATTTCTTATTGGAAACCACCACTTTGGTCAGCATGGTCATCCCCACCATTGAGCTCACTGAGGTTCAGACCTCAGTATTTGTACTGTACTGTGAGGTACTCCGAAAAGAAAACCATACAGAAAATGTCTTTGTTAAAATGGATTTAAAATGCCAAAATAATGTGGTTAGGGTTGAGGTGAACTGGGTTACTGGCATCTTTTAAGGTCCAACTCAGGCACTGTATTTAATCACACTTAAGAGCTATAAAGGAAAAATAAAGTTCTTCACTAAAAGCAAAGAATGCAGCTCAATAGATCAAATGATTAATCGGGAGACTTAAGAGACCTGACGTCTAGTACAGTAAGTGAAGCAAGGCAGTTTATTTATAAAGCCCGTTTCATACACACAGGTAGATTCAGGGGGCTGTACAGTACAGTGGAAGACAACACAGTTCAGTTAAAAACAGTTCAAAGATAAAAAGGTAAAAACAAAATAATTCAGAATCAAAACAACCCACTTACAAAAAATATGAAATAATTAAACTCAATGTCTATTTGTCATTCCAGTTCCCAAAGTCTGCTGAGAAAGTGTCTAAATACTGATATTTACTGTACCTTAGTGGGTGTTAATAATGTAAATATCACAATGTCTGATCACATGATCACCTTTCATCCTTTAGCATCACCTATCCACATTCATCATTTACTCTCTGATTATTGTGTTACACTTTGCACTAAATGTAAAAGTTGATCTAATGGATCTACAATATGTTTTTTTCTGTTTACAGTACAGATTTGGAGACATAATTATGTTTCCAAGGAAATGTATCATGGATGGAGCACAGCCTGTGTACAAGCACTATGCTATTTATGTGGGCCCAAGCAGTGAGATAGACATTGGCCAAGGTGACAATGACATATTTCACCGCACAGGTACGTGTAGTAAACTAAAGTGCTATAACATTTGGATAACAAGAGAGGGGTGCTGTTGCTGCTGTAACCACATGCCCCATCAATGAACTTCCAGAAACTCCAAAAGTATCTGATTTACATGCTGAATATCATTGATTTTCTCATTAGACTCTAACTGCTAGTAAGTTTGCAAACTAAAGTATTTCCCAAAAAAGTCAGCCAGTTGATGGAGTTGACAGTGAGTTAAAGAACCCCATAATCCAGTATTGTGTCAATATATTGACCCCCTCACTGGGTCAGTTTTCCCCCAGTCTTTTTTAAGTATGTACATATCAGTGACGTGTGGTCAGGAGAGGCTGCCATCATGGGAAAAAATAAAATGTATAATAAACAAATGAATGAAATGGTCATATTTATCAAATGGTTTGAACTATAAACTAATTTACCATTTTAACTTAAACAATTTTGATTTTTTTTAATTGTTTTTTTTATTAGCATGTCCGGTTCAAACAGGCACAGTGAGCCTCACCTTGGATTGCGCAATCCCTCACAAACTGTGGGGAAAACTGTCGCCAATCAAATGTTTCAAACACGTTTAATATATTCCCCCCTGACTTTACATAGTTTTGCTGATGTATATAATATGTGTGTGTAACCTCTTTCGTGAAACGCTTCCTTCCTCTTCTTTGTGCACTGTAAAACCTGATGAGTTTGTTCAGTACAGTAGTGACTGTTTGAGGAAACCGATCGCCTTAAACCATTAAAGTTTATCAGTTAATTTTAATTTACTTCTTTTATAAAGATGTGTTGTCAGGTTTTACAGTGTAGTTACAGCCTGCTGTAAATGCTGTACTGTTACACACAAACCCATTTCTGATGCAAATGGAAATAAGAAAAGAGCAAATAAGATACAGCAGGAATAAGTGTTTGATCTGTATACAATATTTCTAATTAAGTTTTATTCTGACAAACAGTTGATGAAGGGCTGAACCTTATCTGTAAGTTTGATAAACTTGAAACAACGAGGGAACAATGGAAGGAGAGAGTGGACAATTACCTTGACGGCATTCCCCAAATGAGAAAGGCCATTAACACGAGAGGCATAATAAAGCGGATCAACTGTACCATTTGGAACTGTAGAGAATATCACATGTTTCTCAACAACTGTGAACACGTTGCTACCTACGTGCGCTATGGCCTGAGGATATCGCTGCAGGTATGTATCGGATTCAACAGCAGCCCATAACTGTGTTTACAGCGTTACTCAAACTTTTTACACCGTGTACCTCCCCAGAAAATATTTCACTGCAGCCTCACTGATGTCATCCTCACCAACAATTAGACACAGTAATTTAGAACAGGTGTTTGCTGTGTGGTTCTACTGTTCCGATACAGAGAATAACAGACAGACATCTGCCATCCAACAGGGTTGGCTTAGAAAAATGTCTAATGTGTAACACCAAATGTACATGAAGTTGAAGTAATGTATGTGCAAGAAAGCAAACTTTAACTGTGTTGTTTTTTTTCACAGCGGGGAACATTGGCTAGATTTCTTTTCCGAATTCCTCCCGAAGTCAGAAAAATACTCTGCAGAATCAAAAGAGACGAAGCAAAAGAGCTCAGCTGTGAATCTCTCCAGGCAAACTCCTCCTAACCCTTGTTGGAAATTAAAAGTCTAGGGTGACTTAAAACAACGCCTGATACCTGTCTGCAGTCTTTGCCGATTTTTATGATTCTCACCCTTGCAGTTTAACAGCAGTGTGTATACCATAAAACTTCAATTAATAGCTTTTATTTGCTTCAGTCGCTGAGCTCAACCTGCCTATATTTGGCACAGGCTTCTATATGGGACAGGCATTTAATTCCTTTTGCACAAAACTCATTAAAGACTGGAAATCAAATTCTTTATTTAAACCATTATTTATATTATATTTATCCATTATGTGTAATAAACCATTCTAATTCCATATGTTCATATTTTCTTTGTTAGTGAAAATACATTTTAATTCCTCCTTTTTCTGAGGAAGATCAGGAGGACGCAGCCCCAGAATAATAATCCTAGGTTCCACAGTCACAGCTATATGCAAAATGTTATCATACAGATCACCTCACTCCATGCAACATATAAACCTTCTTACAGCCATTTAATTATTGTGCGTCTGTGTTCAAAAAGACAAAAATAACCAAGCCCAACATTCTCATAGGGGGTAAAGAGTGGACGTTTATTCATTTCATACTCATATGCTGAGCAGCATTATGGGCTAACATAGGCACAGAGGGGTTTATCATTGGTACAGCCTGAGGTTACTATAGTGTTAATACATTGTAACAATGTGTAAAAAAAAATAATAAAGAGGTGAAATGTAGTAAAAATGGAATGTGACAGTGACATTTTAATGATGATTAAAACTATACAGTCAAAGTGTATGCTGTTAATATGAGAAGATTTTAAAAGGCCGGTGTGTCCCCTCCGTTTAGTCTTGTCCTCATCATAAACTCATGGACACCTGGATGAACTAGAGAGAGAGAAATACACCCAGTGTTATCACACAACTCTCAATTATCTAGCAGTCATCTAAAACACCATTCATCAGAAGATGGTCGAACACACCTGTTGTTCTGTTTACAGCTACATTAATGGGTTTCTGTTGTAATAGGAGTTGTTTATGTGAGCGTTAGCAAACAATGATCCGGCATATTCCCTCTCCTTTTAGCTCTGGTTTGGTCTCCACCAACTGCTCAGAAAAATACCTTTATCATATCATTTTAGTCTCTGTGTGTGTCTGCTGTGTGTTTCTGAGCAGGTAGTGCACAGTCGGTTTATCTTCTATCAGCTTGTTGGCTGAAAACAGCCTGCTGATGCTGGAAACACGGTTTAAGAGCCAGATATAGAAGTTAGAAGGGAGAGTGAATATTGACAGGACTCAAAATACATGTCAATAAAAAAATTTTAAAAATAACTTTTAAGTGATGGACACTTACGTCGTCGTACTGAAACATGGCCGTGCCACTTTGGTTTGTGTCTCTTCTTCGGAAATGATCTGAAAAACATAGAAACATTTTAAAAAAGCCACGTCATCAAAATGTATTACATTACATTTTCATCCAAAGAACCCCTTTACAGTCCGGAGTCACTCTGAGGAACAAAGCCCCCTTCGTGATCTGTTTTCCAGCATGCATCTTCCTGTTTGTACCATGGATGTATAAAGAGAACTGGGTACAGCGTTGGAGGTGTCTAGTCTCTACTTGTGGATCCGTGTGCATGAGAATCATTTTCAAGAGGTGTTAAAATGCATGTGTTATTTGGCCACCCCATTGTCGTACGTAGGTGCACAGCATGAAGCAGTTTTTGTCAAAGGCTCCCAAAGAAATAACACAATTTAAAAAGGTTTTCTTAAATCACATATATAAAAACATACAAGTGGACAAGCTGAGCTACAGGTGATCCACCAGTAAAGAGCAAACTGCTCATACAAGCTCAATCCGCTTATTTATCTTCCCAGTCAACCGTCCAATGAGCTGCTGGTGTTAGTTCAGGGTTTTCCCTCCTGATAATGAGACAATGAGGGTGCTGTTTTTATGCCTACTGTCTCAGATTTTGTGCGTTCTTCGGCCCACTCACCGGTCAGGCAACGGAGTTTTACACAACTGCTCACAAAATCATCAAAGGCGATTCTGCCGCTTGTGCTGTAGCGGTTCATGATGACGTTCATGGCCTGAGGGCTCAGGTTGTAACCTGCAAAGGAACACATACATTAAATAAATGACATTTTACACAGAGAGAATATACCTGCATTGTGCTTTATAGTAACTTCCAGCCAGCAGAATAGTCTAATAAGTTTTTTACACTACAAACCACAGTGGTTTATCTATGTCCACTGGTCATTACACAATATATTTTTTCCTAATTTTTTGCTTTTAAATGCTGCTTGAGTTTTGTTAGTTTTCCTGTACCCATGGTGTTGATGGCCTGCTGCATCTCAGGGCCCTCCACTGTTCCACTGCGGTCCCGGTCGTAGGATGCAAAGGTATTCTTCCAGCCGTTCAGAGCCTGCGACAGTTCCTTGAACTCATTAAAGCCCATGGTGCCGGAGCCGTCCCTCTGAGTGACACAGTCAAGGACCCATCAGATACCTTTCCAGCACTCCATGGACTCACTGAAAACCCTCATACCAGATGGGAAGCTTACCAAGGGGATAACGATGTGATAAAACACATCTAGCTAGTAATGAAGCCAAAAAGTAAAGCCTGTTTGGCACATAAATGATGAACAAAGTATATATTTTTAATCTCTGTTCATTCATTCATTCATTCATCTTCATCCGCTTAACAGAGAGATTATTCAGAGAGTCTGTACTGATCTACAGTATCTTGAAAACAGAAGGAAGTGAAAGGGGAATCTAGCTCCTAGAACCCAAAGTAATCATGTGACACTATCGACCAGTTTTCGGTGTTTCTGTTTGGCTGATATTGTCCTATTGCAGCGGTGAGAAAAGGTTTCTGTGGTCCGTGATCCCGACTGGGTCGTGACTAACAGGAGCATAAACGTAACCGAACAGCAGTGAGGTTTGAAAAAAAGGTCTCCTGAAAGTGATATTAGCAGGGACTTGTCCCATCTTTACCCTCACTGGGGTTGTGATGATGCATTAATGTGAAACTGACAATCTTAGTTATGAAGTTTGCCGTTACTAACAACTTGTGAGTGGAATTAATCTGCTCAAAATCCCTCCAAAATTCTCATTTTACACAAACGTCCTGCAGTTATTGTTTTCACTATTTGAGTTCATTGTAGAGTTTATCAGCTGTTCTCTACTGTTATGTGTTAAATATAATATAAAATATCCATAAAATATGTCACTTAGTCAGTTTACTCATGAGGAAAAAGGTTGGGAACCACTGTTGGTAGTCAATCTGAAGGATACATCCAGCATGCTGATCATCAGTCTGCAGGTCTCCATGCTGAAAGCTGTAAAAGGAAAACAGGCTGAGACCAAGTCCACACTCATATGGACCAACCTACAAACACCATTTACATCAAACGTTTAGAGACAGGTGGGGGCCGTCACAGTAACCACGTTTCATTCAGCCTCCCTCAGCTCCAAGTATTTGCCCCTTTTTGGATTAGCTGGGAGCTGCTAGAGTCAATATGGTGACGGCCGGCTGTCAGAAACATACAGGTGGTGTCACAGAGACTATGTTTACCTTTATTTGTAGCCAAAGAAAAATGTACAGATGCTTTTCTCCATTGAGTTTGTTAGTCTACAGCTCCAGAACCTCAGTGAAGTCTGATACCAGCAGTGGTTTTCTCTCAAAATTAGGTTTCACAAAGCTAAAAAAAAACAGACATTTTGTATCAAACTGTTAACTGAACAGACACAAAGAAGTGTCTTAGTGTTCAGAAAACTGGCTTCATGCCACCATTTGTTGCCCGGTGCATGGAGGCCCATTGTATCAGAGCATGAGCTGAAAATGTGTCTCAGACTTACGGTGAATTTGTGCTGTGAGTGGATGTTTAATAAAAACAGTTTTGTGTTTTCTTACGTTTGTATGAGCCAGAGATGCCGGACTGCGTGAGGCAGCGCTGCAGCTCGTCCACTGAGATCTGTCCATCCTGTCAGGGTGTCAGGAAAAACAGAAAGAGATGCACTGTGACACAAAACAATTCGATAACAATCAGCAGACTGTGCAGAGGTCTGACAAACATCAATGCCCCAATATTGACAATTACTGCAGTTGCTGAGGTAGTGTGTTAATCTTTGTGGGGGTGTGTTACCTGTCCAGCGACAGCTGAGAAATATCCATAGAGAGGATCCTGCTGCAGAGAGAGAGAGAGAGAGAGAGAGAGAGAGAGAGAGAGAATAAATATAGCTGGTTGTGCCACAGTCTGAGTCTTAAAACATAAAGTAACATCCCAATCAGCAAGAGCATGGAAGGTCTTCATTGTACAGTGGTCACCAAACATATAAACCTCTTGAAGATGCACATTGCCTTAGTAAAAGGTTCAATACCACCCAGACAGAGAGAGCACACTCTCCTGCACGCTGGCATCATGATGAAGGTGTTTAGGTGAAGAAACCGCCTTCAGGAAGCTTTGTTGCATTTCTGTTATCATCTTTCCTGTTACCTAACAGGGATCCAATGCAGGGTGCAGGCGTGTGTGTGACACTTCAATCTGATCTTTGTGCAATAAGCCTCATAAATGTCTTGTTAACAGTACAAACTCCCATTCACTCACATATAATCAATTCCAGCTGCCTGCATACTTTACATAGTCCACCAGCGCTGACTCAGAGTGTGTGTGTGTGTGTGTGTGTGTGTGTGTGTGTGTGTGTGTGTGTGTGTGCACGCTCCTTGGGTCTTATAAAGAAGAAACCCCACCCTTCCTCACCCCTAACTTATTGTAATTCCACTTTAAACTGTGCAAACAATAGATTGCCTTAGTGCTAAAGTATCGGCTAAAATAAGTTGACAGACGATTCCTCCCGACGAACAGTCAAAGAATTTAAAGCAAAACTAATTACAAAAGCAACATTGTTAGAAAGTTTCCTAGAAAACAAAATAGGTGCTGTGTTGTAAACCATCAAAGCCACCAACATTTACATTTCTGAGGGACTACTTATTCTATTTTATACTATAATAGATTCTGTACTTAAAGCTGCATTGGGTAACTTTTATTTAAAAAAAACTATTTTGTCAAGTCAAAACAACCAATCAGAGCCGAGGAAGAGAGACAGACGCTTTGGTTTGGAGGCCTGAAGATAGTCTCATTCCCAGAGTCCCAAAGCCTTCCTGGGAATGAGACTCAACAATCAACTATCCTTCTCTGATTGGTTGTTTCCATTCAGGCCCGGTGGACTCCTGAGGAAGCTTATTATTGTACACAGATTACTACTGGTGTTCTACTGACACTAGAAAGTGAAAGCTTTAAGCACAGCACATATATTTATTTATTTATTTATTTATTTATTGTGTTGTTATTTTCACTTCAGTTAAATACTAGAACACTTCCTCCACTACTGCCACTTAAAGTGAACAGAGTAACACCTTATAAAGATACAACGTTATAATGTGAAATAAATGCTCAGTTGTATTAAATCCTTCTGCAGTCAGTGAACAGATAATAACACCTGCAGCTTTTATTCTTCATCATTTCATTCACCTCGACCGACTTCCGCACTGTGTGTCCCCGGGACGGTGGTCGACATGTGTGTGTCACCGTTTAACGTTTACTTACCGGTGCTGGAGCTCCACCGGGACCGGCGCCGTATCCTGGATAAGCCATCGGTTCTAAAGCGTCTGAAACGGGGAAGGCTGCTCGGGATTGGGGCTGCGGTGCTGCCTTGTGAACTTCTGAGGGTGTGACTGTCTGTCGACACAAACACCGACCACCGAGGAAAGCCGAGGTTCTAAAGTGTGAAACACCGTGGAGGCTGCTGGTTGCGGACACTCAATTCAAACCGGGAATCAACCGGGACAATAGGAAGCAGCAGAAAAAGGTGAAATGTTTGAGATGGTTGTTAAATGGCCCGTTTCCTCACCGCTGCATTCTGATTGGCTGCGAGTGACCAGGTGACTCTAATAGACCAATCAGAGCACAGAGCTGGATAGGAAACATAAAAAAAAAGCCTTTCCAGGGAATAACAATGCAATAAACACAAACAGGCGCACACTGGACTACTACAGAGCACAGGCCAACTATAGCTAATGTTACTGACTACCAGCTCTTATTACACAGTCATACAAACAACACAATAATGCACAAGTTATGACGTAAATGTAAGGGCAGCCCCACCTTAAATAAGTTATTAATGACTCATGATGCTGTTGTTTGTATGACTGTTGAAAGAAAAAAACAGCTTATATGTATTAAAACTTTCACTAGAAAAAAACACAAAATGCAGATTTCACTTTTACTGTCCCAACAGTTAATAATAAAAGTGTGTTTTACCTTTCTTACAGACAGCCAATCAATCTGCAGAGACTATACTGCTTCATAGTTTGTACAACACCTGTACGAACACACCTGTACGAACACACCTGTATGAAATCAACACCTGTATGAAATCAATCAAATGTTGGTCGTGGTTGGCAGTTATGTCATCAGCTGTTCCCAACCACATAAAAATAACCAAACAAACCCTTCACAATGAAAATGCCTCCTTATTAATAATGAACAAACGCCTCTTCAATAATAGGGAAACCTGTATGAATGAGCTTTCAATGAAAATAAACCAACAAACAAGCGTTAGTGCTATTAATGCAAATGTTTTTGCTTGGCCAATGATAACCTAAGATCTGGCCTGATGCAGGAAACCTAGTTGAAACTTGTTGTTTTTAATATTCACTCAAATTAGGCTCCAGAATGCTCAAAATCAGCCTCCATCAGGAAAGCAAAAGACAGTTTCTGGCTGACAATATCTGCCGTTGATGAAAGCCCCCACCTTGAGTCCTAAAGAAAGGGCGTCGTCACATCCTGACTGACCGGGGGGGGATGCACCAAACTGGTCTGTTATTATTTAGGAGCCAGTCCCCACAACCCTGAGGAACTGGTGATCTGAATAAATGTCCAGTTAACTCAGAGGAATTTCACATTCAGCTAAAGTGAACCTTTAATAACAGTTTCTGAAATATATGAACGGGGGTAATGTGAAATATATATATTGTATATGTAGTAAATGTCTTAATACGTGCAAACCACAGACATGATCCTTTAACAGAAAGCATTACATCAGTACCTGAGACAAGCTGCCCAATCAGCTTGCTCTCTATAGTGACTCATACAGTCCCGCTGAGTCCAGCTCTGGTCCAGAGAAAACCCATCTGATGCTCCGTCTTTGATTTCAGAGGCAGAGCGGAGAGGAAGAGGAGGGCAGGGAGACCACACACACTGGTGGACGGAACTAAGGATCGAGCTCGGGCCGGGATGCACAGACTGAATCCTGACTGTTGGGTTTGGTCGCCGAGACCTCCTCCGTGTCTCATTCCTCAACATTCAGGGAGCTTCACTTCAGCCGTGCTGAGACACCAAGAGGAGGAGGAGGAGGAGGAGGAGGAGGAGGAAGAGGCAGGAGAGCATCCTGCTGTTTGCTGCTACACTACAGGTAGGTTAAGATGAAATGTTATTGATGTTTTGTGATTGTTGCTGATGCTGTTATGTGCTTATGTGTGACTGTCTTATATCTCTTTTATTTTCTTCTGCATCTTCTGCTCTCAGTGAGACTACCTGATTAAATAAAGGTTATAAAAATGAGCTTGTTGATCCTGTTCAGCAACCTCCCACTCCCTGTCCTGCTTCGTGTACATGCATGTGTGTGTGTGTGTGTGTGTGTGTGTGTGTGTGTGTGTGTGTGTGTGTGTGTGTGTTGCCAGTATATGCAGGTGACTGGTGACTACATTCCCGGTCCAAACCCGGCGGGTCTCATCAGCAGGTGCAGGAAACAGACGGATCAGACATATGATTCAGCCATGACGTGCAACTCGAAGCCAAGCCCCTGCATTAATGCATGTTTGGACTGTTAAAGTGGGAAAAAAAAGGCCTTTCTATGGAGAATGATGATGATTTATTTTAGATTCTGCAAACTGAAATACAGAGTGATATGTACGTATATAGAATAAACTTCAGGACTCCATTATCTCCATTTTTAACCTGAGTGCCGTTCAAGCATCTTCTGATTGATGTTTTATACAATGAATGCTCCTGTTTTCCTTCATGTGTCTGCTTTGTCCCTGCGTAATGTACTTCTTTTACTGTCTTTTTATTTTGCAAGTCATTTGTCTTCTGTTTGTATTGTATTTATGTTTTATTAAGAATGTTAATTTGACTTTTTCTACTATATATTCTCATTACATAACTGATTCTGATAAAGTATTTGCAGGACACCATTGTGAATGAGAGCTTTGCAGGGTTTAAGTAAATAAAGGTTTCTATCCAAATAACAGCATGCCAGGTTGACCTAACACTACCTGGCAATGATTGCTTCCTGACTGCATGACTGCTTCTCTCCTGATTCTGCAGGTTGTGATGACGTCATCAGACAGGCTGCTGAAGCTCGGTGGTCCTCCTCCGAACCTGCCATCCGCTCAGGGATCCCCAGCAGCTCTGGCCTGGCTCTGCGAGGTCCCGGTGCTCCTTCCTCACAGCAGCCAAAAACACTGATCCATGCCGATGGGGGAGACGAATCGCGGCATTTCGTTGGTGGTCGTTGCTGGGGAGGTCCGGGGATGGAGACCCGGGGATGTGTATGTATTCATGGGCAGAGAGAACCAGAAGGTTTGTGTCCCAACTGGCCTGGATCTCCATTCGTCTACTATGGAGGTGAGTGTTCACTGGATGATCTCCAAACTGTTCTTTGTAAATCAGGTTTTTTTCTTTTGCTCTTAATTGCAACTTAACAACAAATTAATACTTCTTTGCCAATTTAGGGGAAATAGAGATTAACATGTTTCATCAACGCAATTATAAGCGGTCACATAAATAAAATGCTATTAAAATAAATGGTCCTACTTTACGAGAATAAATAAGTAAAATAAGTTGTAGTGATTGTAGTTAAACATTGGGCTCAATCTAGAAACCTTTTAAAATGAAAACAATATTTGCATTAATTATTAAATAGCTGCCTGACGTGTTTTTTGTTTGTTTTTTGGATATCAGTTAATCATTGCTATCAAATAAAATGCTATTTCATGACAATAAAAGAGTTGCCACAAAGGCCTTTCCATAAATAATGTCATTAACTCTTGCAGTTCAACGTTCATTGCTTTGCAGACGATACAATTTTATGTGACGCAGGTGAAACTCCAGCCCAAGCTCTGTCTCATCTCCTGCCTTTGATGCCTTCCAACTATCACTCCTTAATACCAGACTAGTTTTAAATACAGAAAAGGCCAAATATATTCTCCACCTCCACCAGAGTCAATCTTCCTCCAATTAATCTCAATGAGACTGCATGATTAAATAAAGATTTTTAGAGAGTTATTTCTGGAACCGATTGGAACCAAAAGGTGAATCAGCAGGTTTTGCAGCATCTGGAAATGGAGATACAACACAGAGCTAAGCAAGGGCAGAGGCTTTGGAGCAAACTTTAAACCAGTTAGATGTTATGGACATCTTCAATATCTGAATAACGTGGAGGTTAAGGGCAAATGCTTATAACAAAATGCATGTGTTTGCTTGATGCAGTGAGGAGGAACCTGGTGGTTGGAGTGGAGGTGGTGGAGGAGGTTGCTGTTGAAGACACTCTCGAAGTAATGTAAGTACTATATCAATTATTATGACATTTAATCGTACCACTAATGCAACTGTTTCCTAACTTATATTAATTCTACTGCTGTTTTTTGTGTTTTTCTCTTCTCAGAACGGAGGACATATATACAGATGATCTCCTGGATCCTGAGCTGCTGCAACACACCCAGCTGTACCCCACATGAGCCCCGAGTAACTTCCACGGTGTGCACTGTTAACAAAGATATCATTCTAATATATTTGTCAAATGTGTTGTATTTTGTATATTTTTGCCTACTATTGTTGTGTGGGTGTGTTTTTGACATGCTGTTTGTCTCTTTTATTTATAAATTAACACCACTGTCAACTTTGATTAATAAGCTTTACATAATCAAACAAATAAAATAAAACAATTATGACTTGTTATGACTCATTGTGACTCATTGTCCTTTTAAAAAAAATAATATAATGTAATATAATAATATAATATAATATAATAATATAATAATACAGAATATAATATAATATAATAATATATAATATTATATACTATAATAATATATAATATAATATAATATAATAACATATAGTGCTGACAGGTGTAGTAGACTTGACAACATCCATCAACTGGTTTGGATTTATGGATATTGGAACTGAATTTAATTCATTAATTTAATTCACAGATTGTTTAAATACTAGATTTGTTTTTGTTTTGTTTTTAGTTTCTGTCTACTTATTTATTTATTTATTTATTTATTTATTTATTTATTTATTTTGTAGACTAATGTATTCTTAACTAGATCCGGTTCTACATACTTGAATTTCCCTCGGGATAAATAAAGTATCTATCTATCTCTCTATCTATCTATCTATCTATCTATCTATCTATCTATCTATCTATCTATCTATCTATCTATCTATCTATCTATCTATCTATCTATCTATCTAACGTTATCTATCTATCTATCTATCTATCTATCTATCTATCTATCTATCTATCTATCTATCTATCTATCTATCCTTCTATCTATTGATCTACCTATCTATCTATCTATCTATCTATCGATCTACCTACATACACACTCCGGTACGCTGGGTGGCGGTATACAGCTGTAAATTGAGACTGCAATCCAACAATAAATACAAAGAAGAAGACGAAGAAGAATTACGTCTTAACGTCGCACCAAAGATGGCGGCCGCACATTGAGAGTGAAACCTGCTGATGTCAGTGCTGTTCGGATAGAAGCTGGTAAAATGTCGGAAGCGTTGGGAACTCAAACTGTTGAGGATCGACTGGAGCGGCTGAAGGAGCTCACCGAGTTCACCGACAGCTGCCGGAAACAGCTCGACGAGATATTCACAACGCTGGGGTGGTCGCGCGACTACAACGGCTCCGACCACGTAAGTTAACCGTTGACCGTTGACCGTTAACCGTTAACCGTTAACCGTTGACCGTTGACCGTTGACCGTTAACCGTTAACCGTTAACCGGTAACCGTTGACCGTTAACCGTTAACCGGTAACCGGTAACCATTGACCGGTAACCGTTGACCATTAACCGTTAACCGGTAACCGTTGACCGGTAACCGTTAACCGTTAACCGGTAACCGTTAACCGTTGACCATTGACCGGTAACCGTTAACCGTTGACCAGTGACCATTAACCGCTAACCGGTAACCGTTAACCGTTGACCATGAACCACTAATCGTTGACCATTGACCGTGTAACCGTTAACCACTAACCGGTAACCGTTAACCGTTGACCATGAACCACTAATTGACCGTTGACCGGTAACCATTAACCACTAACCGGTAACCGTTAACCGTTGACTGGTGACCGTTGACCGTTAAACACTAACCGGTAACCGTTGACCGTTAAACACTAACCGGTAACCATTAACCATTGACCGTTAAACACTAACCGGTAACCGTTGACCAGTGACTGGTAACCGGTATGCTAAGCTTAACTAACGTTAGTTTTTTCTAGAAAAATGAAATTTTAAAATATTTTTATTTAACTTTCACCATTAACGATATTTAATCAATACACAATATAATGATATTTAATCAATACACAATATAATGTATTTAATGAATACACATATAATGATATTTAATCAATACACAATATAATGATATTTAATGAATACCAATATAATGTTATTTAATCAATACACATATAATGTTATTTAATCATACACATATAATGTTATTTAATCAATACACAATATAATGATATTTAATCAATACACAATATAATGATATTTAATCAATACACAATATAATGTTATTTAATCAATACACAATATAACGATATTTAATCAATACACAATATAATGATATTTAATCAATACACAATATAATGTTATTTAATCAATACACAATATAATGATATTTAATCAATACACAATATAATGTTATTTAATGAATACACATATAATGATATTTATGATACACAATATAATGATATTTAATGAATACACAATATAACGATATTTAATGAATACACAATATAATGATATTTAATCAATACACAATATAATGATATTTAATGAATACACAATATAATGATATTTAATGAATACACAATATAATGATATTTAATGAATACACAATATAATGATATTTAATCAATACACAATATAATGATATTTAATCAATACACAATATAATGATATTTAATCAATACACAATATAATGTTAGTGTTATTTAATCAATCACAATATAACGTTAGTGTTATTTAATCAATACACAATATAATGTTATTTAATCAATACACAATATAACGATATTTAATCAATACACAATATAACGATATTTAATCAATACACAATATAATGATATTTAATCAATACACAATATAATGTTATTTAATCAATACACAATATAATGATATTTAATCAATACACAATATAATGTTATTTAATCAATACACAATATAACGTTATTTAATCAATACACAATATAATGTTATTTAATCAATACACAATATAACGTTAGTGTTATTTATATTTATAATATTTATGTGTTTATAGCTGTGCTCCTTCCAAATGCTCAAATCCATAATTAAACATGTTACGTACAAATAGATTTAAACGTGTGTTAATACGCCCGCACATTAGTGTGTGTGTGTGTGTGTGTGTGTGTGTGTAATGTTTCTCTGATGTTTGTGGTGTTTCCTCAGGAGCCGATGGAGCAGTGTCCCTACGACCCCGACCACACGGTCCCGGTCAGGAGCATGGAGAAACATAAAACCTCCTGCGCCCTCCGACAGATGGGCTACCCGGCTGAGGAGCAGGTAACCGCACACACACACACACACACACACACACACACACACACACACACACACACACACACACACACACACACACACACACACACACACAGGGTCTAATGGACACTGATGGAGCAGTGTTTATGTCCCACTGTAAGAAATGTCAGATGTTTTCCAACCTCTGTGCCTGTGACACCAGCGGGAAGAGACAGTTGAGTCACTCTTTTGCAGGCGGAGATGTTCGATCCTTCGGTGTGTTACGAGAACAGCAGCGTCAGAAGCTTTACGATGGGTGAGTCCTTTATTCGTAACGCAGTTCAGCCACTAAACGGCTCATTAAATGTCCCTTTTTTACCTTTGATTAGAGGTAATTCATGTTTTTCTCTATAAAAACAACGTAAGAAATACAACCACTGTCATTAGATATTAGCTCAACGCTCAAGATATTCTGGAAAATAGAAATCTTTGATTCATTTTTTTTTTTGGTAATTACATTTGATGAGTTTTTTTAAAGTGGAAGATAAGTAAACCTTAAAAACAAAAGTTTTATGTTGTCTTTATTTTTAAGAAAATAATGTAAATATTCTCGTAAAAAGAAAAGTTGTGTGTCGGGGTGTCTCACATGTTCCTGTCTTTGATTTCTATAAGATCTATGACTTGTTTAAAACACTCTTGACGAGCGTTAGTGTGATCAATAAGGGGGATGAAGTCATACCTGGAGAGTTCTGCTCAGTCTTTATTACGGGATGAAACACCACCTGAGAGGAAACGGAGGTGAAATCGTGTGGACCAACCATGACTTGAAAACACACTTCGTACATTTCTGTCCCGGTGTTCAGTTGTCGTCCTCTCCTCTCCTCCACGCAGACAAACCCACCCAGCACCAGGTGATCCTGCAGGCCAGATCTGCTGCACCGCTGATGAGGATGGAGGGAGTCTTCTGGCAAGGTGTGAGCTTAATTTGGAGCAGTCCACACCGAAACTGTTTCCTCTGCTGTGTTAGACATGTACCTCCCTGACCAGAGACAGGACCGCTTTTCATTAGAAACAGAGGCACACAGTGAGATTTCACCCTCCAGATGCAATGACAAACCACTAGAAGTCACTAGAGGATTATCTTGTGCTAACCCCACTAACAATCACCCAGTAAATACCAGTCCCATTTATTCAGTTATCTTTATATTAGTCATCTTCCTGCTGGTTTTCCTGCTGACGTGTGTAATCGCTGTGTTGTGTGTTCTGTTTGCAGCGACAGGGGTGAGTATTAGGAGCTGGGCTCTAGAAAGTTCTGCTGCTCTGGTTCAGGCTTGCCTGATTACGTTGCAGTATCCTTTAACATCATATCCTTTCAAACCACAGGGCTGGGCTGGGACACACACACACACACACACACAGTACTTACACTGGGGCTGAACTCGACTCAGAGTGCTGTCAGTAAATCTGATTCGACAGACCACATGCTCAGGGTCTTCTCGACTGATGACTCGGGGGCAGCCCTAACTTACACACACACTTTTTTCCCTTTACGTGTTGGGGAAAGTCTTCATACATTTGTCAGTTAACACTGGTGTGTTTAAAAGTAAACTTTGTTTATGTGGTACTTTTTAAAATAGTTTCAGAGATACTGAGTGTAGAAGATATGAATGTCACGTCCTCTTCTGTGAAGTCCTCTGAATAATTCCAGTTAAAGTTTAGGAGGAGATACAGAACAGATAAAAGGCACAGCTGAGTTAAAAAAGGAGCTTAGAAACTAAATCTAAATGAAACTATCAAGGGTACACTGAACTGTTTGCCTGTTTAACGATAACTGTACTGTTTCTTTTTCTCTTTTTGTTTGTTTAAATGGTAATATAATCCAATTGGAGCCATTTTCACCCAAAATATAATCTCAGAATCCAATTTTGTGTGAATTTTGAGAGATGTTTTGTGCTGTGTAAGGAGTAAAAATACACTATATACTTGGTTTCAATAACAGCTGCACTGTCCACATGTTGTGACGTGTAACCATTGTGTCTGGTGGATTTGTGTGTAAAGCCTCTCTGGTCCCCCGTCAGGTCAGTACTCGGGCCAGCCTGTCGACGTCCCTCAGACCCACAAGCGTGCCTTGTGTGACCTTACCGTGGCCGACCGATTGGCTCTGTACGATCACGTGATCCGTGTCCTCGGCCAGCAGAGCGAGGCCGCGTCCTCCAGCAACGATGACCTTTACGTAGATTTGGTGTCCAAACTCCAGAAGGGTAAGACATCGTGGTGAAAAACCTCTCAGAGCCTCCCGAACGTCATCACGAGAAAATACTGGCGGTCACCTGTACATTAAAAACAGGATATTTGGGTTGTAGCTCGATCTTCTATCTTCCATAGTAGCTGTTTCACTCACTAATAATAATGTCAAATAGTTTCTGTTTGGCTTTTTGAAAGATAGAAAGAAAGAAAGAAAGAAAGAAATCCATTTTGCTCTTATTTTGGTGAATAAAGGAAAATGAGTTTCTCCTTCAGAGTGGTCCTTTGGTAAAGTGTGTGTGTGTGTGTGTGTGTGTGTGTGTGTCTGTGTGTGTGTGTGTGTGTAGACGACAGACAGAATGAACCAAAGACTCATCTGGAGCTGATGGCAGAGATGAGGGACTACAAGAGGCGGCGTCAGTCCTATCGAGCCAAGAACGTTCACATCACCAAGAAGTCCTACACCGAGGTACGAGAACAACCTTTACCCATAATCCCCTTATTGTTACTGTTTGAACGTTTATTAACTGGTATAACCAAACCAAATGATTACAGCTATAAAACTGAAACTCTGGCGTTTGGGTCCCTGCAGGTGATCAGAGAGGTGATCAACGTCCACTCACAGGAGCTCAGCAGACAGTGGAGAGAGGAAGAGGACGAGGAGGAGTCGACGAGAGCTGAACTCTCCTCCCACAGGTACAACAAACACCGTGAAAAATTAAATACATTTTGAAGTGAAGAAAGTCTGTAAGAGCTCTGTGTTGACGACTGATTCTGTTTGTGTGTCAGGCGTCGGCCGGATGAAAGGCGGTCGGCGTCGTCAGAGTCTCGACACAGCCGACGCCATCGCAGCCGGGAACGGAGTCAAGACAGAGAGAGCAAGAAGAAGAGGAAGAAGAAGGAGAGGTGAGAAAGAACAAATACAACTCATTTTGCGCCGAGGTTCTTTTTGCTTCATTACTCAACGTTTGACGTCGGCGATACATACACAAAAATGTTTCCCAGCTGATGTTTGTCTTCTTAAAGAATCCGATGGAAACGGTCGTCGGTCACACGCGGATCGATAAAACAGGCTCTTGTTTCTGTGCTCTCACTGTTTCCTTTATGGATGTTCGCAGGGATTCCCGCTCCCCCGATGACCACCACCACGACCGAAAGAAGAAGAAAAAGAAGAAGAAAGACGAGAGGGAGAAGGAGAAGTGATAGCGCTGAATCAACAACAACAGAAGTCAGATCAGCTGAGGTCAAAGGTCACTGTGGCCTTTACAGGTCAAAATGTTTCCGGTGTCATAACATTTTAAAATTGAAACGTGGGGATTTTGGAGACAAATTTTGGGGAATAAAGTTTTGGAAACCAGCAACATTTTGAGCTTTTTGTGCTTCACAAACACAACTTTAAGATATGAAACAATTTCCATCATCTTTTAATTAGAGCCACAACAATTAGTCCATTAAGCAATTTAATTGTCAACTATTAAAATAATCAACAATTATTTTGATCATTGTTTTTAATCGAATGTCCAAATTCTCTGATTTCAGCCTCACACATGTGAATTCTGTTTTCTTTAGTCTTCTGTGACAGCAAACTGAATATGATTTGTGCTGTGGACAAGACATTTGAGGACGTCACCGTCGGCGTTGATCAACATTTTCTGACATTTTATGAAACCAAACGACTTATCAGTTAATCGATGTTCGACAAATGAGTCCATAATGAAAATAAGTACATACAGAAAGTTCTCCCAGGGTAAATTTACATCAGCTGCAGTCCTAGTGTTAATGACTCTGTGTTTTACACTGTAATTACGTGTGCCAGTCTTGAACAGGCTCCACCCGCCTCTGCCGGATTGGCTGGGACTGGTTTTCAACCACAGACTATAGGAATGTTGGACAGGAGTGTCATAGCTGGCACTCTTTTATGACGGGGGTCAAAGGTCACTCTTGTTTCAGGCTTCATTCTGTTGTGTGTTTACACAAGGTTTCTGCAGTCAGTCTTGAGATTTCTTAGAACAATGACACAAAATGTGACAAAAAGGAAACTAAAACATTGTTATGATGCAAAATGGTACTATAATACCAAGTTCCTGCGACTGACTTCCTGTGTATCACTCCACGCCATGCTCGGTGATTTATTTGATATATTTTTTTAAATTCACTTTAAATTTGTTTTGCAAGAAGCATCTAGCGGACCAACTCAGACCTTATGGTGGACCAACTCAGACCTTATGGTGGACCAACTCAGACCTTATGGGGGACCAACTCTGGCCCACGGGCCCCACTTTGTGCAGCCCTGGTTAAGACAAAAGTACAACAGATTGTTGCAGCTCTAGTTCAGATCAGTGTACAGTATGTGCGGCGTTCAAAATGTCTTTCATAAAACAACCTTTCTGTAACAGGATCTTGCCATAGATTTGTGATATAATGGAGATTATTTTGACCTGATTAAATGTATTGTTCAGCGTAGAAATTGCTAATCTGTAGGATCCATATTGAGCTGCAGAGAAACAAAGTGTTTGCAGCCTCTTGCAAAGTACAAAGTACTGTCACATTGCAGTGTAGCTGGTTGGTATGGATAGAATGGGTTAGGGTTTGTCATCGAACACAAGTATGTGAATGAAGGAAGGATTTCTTTTTAAATTGATTTATTAAAGCATTGAGATGAAGCATTTTTTATAATGAACTGCTGCTTTTCTTCAAAGGAAAACAATCTGACACATCCATGACGTTTCATTTGGATGCAGATGATTTCATTTCAAACATTTCAGATATTAAACTGATATAATATATATAATAAATATATATAATACTTAATCTGTAAACTAATGTGAAAATTATCCTTTTGGCTTAAAGTGAAGAGTTTGCTGGCGTGACATCCACCCATCTCTCTTTCTCTCTGTCCTGCTGTTTCTCTGCTGTTGGTCCCGGTTCAGGTATTTCTCACCCTGTTGAGACGCAGAGATAGAGGACGAGGAAAACCAAAAAAAAAGAAAAAAGAGGGACGAGAAGAGAATCCGTCAGTGCCTGGGAACCTGAGGGATCCTGGAGAGACAGAGAGGAGACAGAGAGAGGACAGAGAGAGGACAGGGGGAACCATCGGGGGGATAATGCTGTGAGAAGTGCTCAGGGAAAGCTAAATCAGGTTGTTTTTGTCCTCATCTGTATCCTGAAAGCTTCCTGTGAAGGATCTGCTCTGGTCTGAGGAGACTGCAGCACCATGGGAGCCTCCAAAGACAAGGTAAGAGGGTGATGGTCTGGATTTGGCGGGGGGCCCTGCAGGTTTGGTGTACGTTCGAGCCCCCTGATGGGTCCAGGGATGGAACTTGAGTTGATTTGGATCAACTGGAGGAGATTGTCTTAAAATGTTGGAAACTTGGAGCGAGCCGTTGCAGCATGGGTTGGTTACAGTTACTCACAGAACATTTGTTTTTGGCATTTGGCAGGTACTGAGGGGGAAAGTGACCTAGGACGGTTTTGGTTTTAGCCTGAATTGGTCATTCTTTAACCACCGCAGGCCCTTACAAATATCTAGGTCCTTAAAAATTAAAATTCCCTAACATTTGAATACAGGATGTCTTCATTTCCACAGTAAAATGCTGCTTTTGTAACTTGGGGAACTCTACTTCTTATTATTAAACTGTTAACACTTCCCTGGAACTCTAGGGAAAGCCCTGTTTTAAATCAACCAAACTTATTCATACTGAACTTTCATAATGACCTGCAGAGAGAATCTAGCTGAAACCCACAATGTCTGTTGACCCAAAAACCTTCTTTAATGTCTTTATATTTGGTCCTACAAAGTATTAGATAGAAGTATAGTTTACTCCGCTTCATTCGGCAGTAAATTAGCACTTATTCAGTTTCTCTCTCAGGGCACAAAACACAGATTTTATTTCGTCTCATAACAAAAGCTGATCTTGCGAGACATTTGTGTTGATTATTAATGAAAAAATAATTAATTTTCCCTTAAATGTTCAGGCTAAGGTGAGACCATGTGAACTTTTTACCTAAAGAATAGTCCTGTTAAGAAGTGGTATTGTCATTATACAAGATTGTTGTTGTATAAAAAAACCCAAAATATCCATGAAAACATGTAAATATGAAACAACAGGGAGCGTCTCACCTCACTGCCCCAGAGGTCCTGCAGGTCAGGATTATTGGTTCCTTCTCTCTGCAACATGTTCTGCCTGTTATTGCTAAACTGACTTGTAGTGGGTTTTAACTTAAACTAGTTTGGGTATATATATATATAAAAAAAAACCAATTACAGTCCATCATACTGTACATCCAACAGAGCCCAGACACACTGCTGGCAGAGGAAATATTCATTCAAACTCGGAGATAAATGATCATTTCTGAGGATAAAACTTCTTATCTTACATAGAAATGTGGCTAAAATGTTGATGTTGAGCAGGATAGTGAGAACTGCTGAACAAATGAAACTCTGTTCATTGTATTCTTTCCACCCTTTTGTTTATAGTGTAGGGTAACAAAAACGTACTGTCCCTCTGCTGTTTGCTGCACTTTTGCTCTTTTCATGGTATTTGTTGACAATATGTATATGTCTTAATCTATGTCTGGAGGGGATCTTTAAAAGATAATTCAAGATAAAGGTTGAGAGATTTGTCCAGAACAGTTGGTTTTGAAATAGCTTAAAAAAACCCAGTTTCTCTCAAGACTTTGAATCACACAAGGATGTTGTGGTTTTGGTCACTTTGGAGTCCACAGTGCAGCTTCTCTGGTGCGGTTAAATATTTGGGTTTTTCCTCGGTCGATGGCTCACAGTGAACCTTGAGGAATGTTGGATGAGTCTGAGAAGAAGTCAGCTGTTTTCATACTGACAAAGAAACCTCTCAGTCTGTTTCATTCTCACTCAAACAGCAGCACAGTCCCTCAAAGCCTCCGCAGCTGCAGGGCGGCCTGCAGAGTTTAAAAGATACCTTTCTGATCCTCCCTGCCACAGCAGATCTGAGGTCAGGCTGTTATGATGCATAAGATCATTAAAGTGGAAGATGACTGTATGTTTTTGCCTGATTCATCATGGCTGCGCCTAAATCTGGAATTACCTCTCATTAATCATGGTTTAGAGTTAGAGTTTTATGTACAGCAGGTTTAAACATCTAAATATAAACTACAGAACACAACAACATGTACTACAGCACTGTATAACCACAGGATTAACTGTGTATATGTTCATTATTTATACTATCAGTTCAAGCTACCTTTAATGTGTATTATATCACTGACATTTAATTTAATTTCCATTTTTATATCTTTTGTGAAGTGCACATGTACTGTACTGCCATATCAGGTATTATGTTCTATTCTTAAAACTTCATGCACTCGACACTTACTTACACTTACAATTACTTTTGACCCGGAGGGGCAAACTTAAAACGTCTAAAATTCAATATGTAGAATTTTACATGTGATTTTGAGAAATGAATTTGACAAAATGTCTGTAAACAACCCAACAATAAGTTTAAAAGCTGGTTACTGATGTAAAACAGGTATTTGTTTTCACTTTGGGGGGAAAAAGGGACATAAAAGCCCAACAGAATCACACCATAACACCATCTCCAGGAGCTCACACACTGTTCAGCACTCCTTTAGTTACCACACATCAGAGCCTCAACAGAAACTTCATTCATTCAAGGGAAGTCATTTCACTTGATGAAGTATAAAGAATACATCTAAATGTCATCATTTTAAATTGTATCAGTTCAGGTCTGCTAGAGTTGGACTGACTATATTCATGGTGTGTTCTGGTCTTCACACAGACTGTATTAACTGGTAGAGGGTATAAAGTGAAGCTGCTGTGTGTTTTCATCCCCCTGCAGGCGTCTCTCCTCTCCGGGCTGCTCGTGTTCACGCTGTGTGTCGTCTTTTCTTTCTGCCAGGAGGAATATTCTGGATACCACTCAGGTCAGAGCTGCCACATGCTGCTGTGATGGATTGTTCTTAACTAACACCTACTGAACACACTTTACTATTTATCATTAACAGCTTATACAACAAAAGGAGACACAGTAGAAACAAACAAACCTATGTTGGTTTTATTTTGAGAAATGTTCCATTTGTGCCAAACGGTTGTATAAAATATTAAAGAGAGAGCTGAATAAAAATGTAAAAAATAGTGACATATGTCTCTCACAATGTATCGAATCTTGCAGATTTATCTTGGCAGCCAAAATAAAAGTAAATAAAAACTAATCTGGAAAAATAACATGAACGTAATTTAAAAAGTATCAAAACCTGCTTGTTTGTTGGTACATTGTGCTCTTCTTCTCACAGAGATCTTCTATTGTATTGTAGTTTTTTATCAGTGAGATGTCATGTCTTAAAGTAGGGGCTCGTCCGGGAT